AAATAAAGACAAAATGAGTGATAGAAAGGTCTCTGCACTTCAGGAGCTCACTTGAGTGGAGAAATATGCAAAGTGTGATGAGGGACACACCAGGTCACCAGGTGTCTGCAAACAAGCCTGGGAGTCTCAGAGAAATAATCAGTTAACATTGATTGGGCAGATTAATGATGATTTCTTAGTGGAATTGACATCTGAGGGCACTCAAGATGAGTAAGAATCCTGCAGGTGGAAAGGGAGAAAAGGGAATTCCAGGTAGAGGAACCCACAGAGCAAAGGTACAAAAGCATAACAGCTCAGGAGCAAGTATAGGAACAGACAGCAGTCCTGTATGGCAGAAGGAAAGTGAAAAAGGAAGGTACTGTGGGTTGTGGCAGGGTAAGTGGGGAGGGGGCATGGGAATTGACTGGGAATATATTATAAAGGATAAGGGGTTTGTGCACAGGTACATTGGCGTCCTGTTTTTTAGAAAAAGAATTCTGAAAACACTAGGGGAAGATGACTGGAAAGGATAAGAAAAGGAAAGGATACGTGAGTTTGTGTGTGTGTGTGTGTGTGTGTGTGTGTGTGTGTGTGTGTCATTATGTTTCCTTATGTGAGCAGAGTTAGAATAACTTCACTAATGGAATATAGGTAATTAAAGGTTTTACAACAATTAACTTCCCATAGTGCTTAAACAAAATTATTAACGAAGGACAAGATATATGACTGTCTCAAAAGAAAAAAGTGAAAAATAAAGAAGAAAGATAGAAAATAACTTCATTGTTTTCTTTTTCTTATGAATATAATATATGTTAATTTCTAAGTAAATATGAGTGAGGACCCAAAAAACCTGGAATTTATTAAAAAATTATGTATTTATTCTATTTTTTTTTTTTTTTGAGTTGGAGTCACTCTGTCTCCTAGACTGGAGTGCGGTAGCATGCTCCCGGCCACCGCAGCCTCGACCTACTGGGCTCCAGCAATCCTTCCGCCTCAGTCTTCCAAGTAGCCGGAACTATAGGCGCGCACTACCACTCCTGGCTTATTTTTGATTTATTGTAGAGATGAGATCTCGCCAAGTTGCCCAGGTGGGTCACAAACCCGCGGGCTCAGGCAATTTACTCACCTCAGCCTCCCAAAGCGCTGGGATTACAGGTTTGAGCCACTGAGCCCGGCTTGTATTTATTCTTACATGTATAAACTTCAATCACCTTCAAAGTACTCTCCATTTGATGCAATGCACCTATCAAGACACTTTTTTCACTGCTCAAAACAGTTTTTGAACTTGTCAATTTTGATGCCTTTTAGTGCTTCTGCTATTTTTTGTTTCACCTCTTCCACAGTGGCAAAATGTTTCCCTGTGAGAACATTTTCATCCAGGGAAACAAACAAAAAGTCGTTCAGGTTGAGATTGGGTGAATAGAAATGGTGGGGCATGGATGGGGGTCATGCCATTTTCTGCTCAAAAACTGCTGAACATTCATTGTGGTGTAGGCAGATGTACTGTAAATCACCCATCATAAAATGGGCAAACGCATTGAAAGAATCTCCAGAATAATAATAATAATAACAATAACTGAAATTGAATGCAGCCCCTCACTACAACGCTAGCTGGTACATTAATGCTGATGGGTTCCTAGAACACTTATTTAGGGAGGAAACCTGCACTACAAGAGGCCTACCCTTCAAAAAATAATTCTGTTTTTTGGGTGGAGATCCTCCCTTATACAGGATACGAATTCAATTTTTAAAATATGGTAGAAATGAATCACAATCACACCACCAGAGAAAAACTTTGCATATAACTTTAAACTGGCATCAGCTCTGCTACCTTGAAGTAGACATTGAATAAGATTGATGATGGATATAGTAATTCAGACAACTGGAGCCAAGCTCATTTTAAGCAGAAGTGAGCATGATAACTCTGGCCTCGCTTTGCAGAGTGAAACTAGCCAAAGAAGACATTTATTGCTACATTATGGTAATTATACATTATTTATAATTATTTCAAAAAACATGCTAAGCACTATGATTAATACATTTGGAAATGTGCAATATACACTGCTTTAGCAATTTCTTTTTGTCTTTGAAGCAAAAATGAAAAATACAAGTAGTGAAAATGAAGAATCCCTTCAATCTTCAATTATTTCAAGTGAAAACTCAAGTACTGAGGAATAGTAAACTTTTATCCATCAGTTCAGCAACTCTTTTAAAAAATGCTAATGATAACATCAGAGATAGATCTATCAGTGAACAAAATAAAGGTATAGTGTCTGCACGCATGGGACTCACAGTTTTGTAGTTAGCTAGATATTCTTTCTCCCTCCACTCCAGAAGAGAAATTCTACCCACTTTTCAAGGTCTGGCTCTCTTCCAACCTTTCCACAATACACTCTTGCACTGTTCCAGCCCTTGCAAGTGTACCCTTTCTCTTATATTCCATAATTCTTAGCGATGGTGCCATTATCATACAATTTGGTTATATATCATCAGGAACTGAACTCTATTGAATGCATAAAAGTCCTTTCTCCTCAATAAGATAAAAATATTCCTTAAAGACAAAGACCATGACACATTACTTGGGGTTGGGGCAGAGTTTTCTGAATATCTGGTATTACCGAGCAAGGCATTGAGAAGATTTTTGATAAAGGATTTGATTGTGACTGGAAAATGTATTTACTGGAAGTCTAGTTCTTGATGTACTAAAAGAAATGTCAATAAAATCTCTTTACATTGTCTTAAGGATTGAACACCTCACAATACTGGTGCAAATGAAGGCAAGCTGGTGAGAACTTCCTAATGGAATCTCATGACACTCTTCATTTCATTTGTTATTTTAAAGGCAAATTGTTCATTATTTTCCAAAATTGTTGTACAATTAAAACATCCATAAATGACTAAAATAACAATCCAATCGATTTTTTATTTAAAACCACAGTTAAATTAAGGCTCAGTTACACATAAAATTTGCAAAGGGGAGAGATTAACCCTGATTTCTTGATGTTGCCATTACCACATTACCAGCTAATTTAAAGCTGTAATAAATTATTATACAGTTAAACTATTAAAATAGAGAAATCATTCTGTGAATCCAATCTGTACTCTGACATTTTGAAAAAAGTTGTTATTTGCAGGTTTCTTTAGAAGCACTTTTAATATAGATTTATAGGAATGCTTTGAACATGTATCTTGATAAAGTACAGCATAGTATCCAAATTAAATATATTGCTTAAAGGAAACCAAGTTGTAAGGAAGCTCCAGTAAAAAGATGAAGACTTATGGATAGAACTAGGACATGTTTGTCCTTCGTTGTAACCTTTAAAGGTTGAAATCATTCTGTTAAAGGTTATTTGAACACTTGATCACTATCAAGAGCTTTTAATTGCTGTATCTATGGTTCTAACCATCTTATCAGTCTGCAGAATTGTTTTGAGGTGAGATTTTCAGAAACAGAAAAACAATCAGGGACATTTGTGCCATGTGTTAGGTGATGGTGAAGGGCAGAGAATTTGAGACTAAAAAAAATGCTATAAAGAAAATGGGAGATCCCTATAAAAATTTCTTACTCTATATAAAATAGAATTTGTAAATCAAATTATGCTAACCTAGTTCTTTCCATTTTCTGTTTTACAATTCATACTTTTAGAGCCATCTATTCTTATTGAAAGAAAAGTCTACTAATATTTAGGAGCTGGAAAGACTGCTTTTTTTATATTTTATTTTTAAAATGTGAGGTATAATTCAGAATTTAGTACATAAGTGGTCATTGTACAGGTGAAGTTTGGGCCTCCCTTTGGTCTCCACTTCACTTGGTTTGGGATCAGGTGCCCTTATTGATGTTTTGTGCCACCCCCACCCCCCGGCAGTGTCCTGCTACTGCCAATTCCTTTCTTATAGTATTATGATCTATGATAAGGGTCCGCTTATGAGTGAGGACATGTGGTACTCAGTTCTTCATTTCTGTGATAGAGCACTGAGTATGATAGACTCTAAATCCACCCAAGTTGCTGCAAAGATTTTTCAAAAACTATTTTGGAAGAACATTCATTTTGGTGTTGTCATCATCCATCTTTGATCATCACAAATCCCCTCTTCCCTACTCTCTGGACATATCTGGCCTAGGCCAATAGGAGAAAACATTTATAAAACACCTTGTATAAATTAATTGAAAATTCTGGTTCTAAAACCGGGCACAAGTGAAGATAACAGACCAAAACACACACAAAATAAATTGTTGATTGCCTTTAATGGCAAAATCTAAGCTGTCACAGGCAAGACCCAAACCTCAGTCTTCCAAACAACGACAGACCAATTGAGTTAACAAATAATTATTTGTAAAGGAGCTCCTGATACCCATATGCACAGAGGCTCTTCCTTGATGGCATCTTGTATCTTTATGTTGAGTTCTTTAATATTCCTCTCTGCCAGCCATGTGTACCAAAAGCAACTCACGACATTTTTTGAAGACAGACCTATATTCTTCTTGTATAATTTTTAAACAAGATCTAGCTGGTGTGCTTAAATTAAGTATGTTTCATTGCCAAGGAAGCAATCTACATATGAATTTGCTAAGAAATCAACCATACAATAGGTAACATCCCAGTTGTGTCATTGAGCCTCCTTTTTGATCACAGTAACAGATGTCTAAATAAACCAAAGAGCAGGGTACGCCTAATACAATTTAGAACATCTCATCAAGTTTCAGTTGGCTAATCTAACTTTATGATCATTCACCAAGTCTCATGGTTTACAGTGGTTTATTTCAAAGAAGGGGCCGTGTAGCAGAAAAGGAACAAAACCAATCAAAACAAACAAACAAAACAAAACTCCATCAAGGATATCTAAAAATCATGTTAGTGTTAATGAAAATTAAGTTAATGCCACAGGGAGAGAATATGGCCTACTGGTCTATTTCTATAGATGAAATATCTCCTCCTTGCTTCTTAAACCTTAATTGCTTTTACAGTGCCCAATAACAACCAAAAATTTATACTAGATAAGAACTTAAATGAAATAAAGGTGATGCTGGTCGCTATTTGTTTGAATTCAGATTTTCATACAGGTCTTTGTAATTGCCTGACATTTTACTGGAGGATTATTAGGGGTAAAAAAGCTTCATATTCTTTGAACCACCAATGTTTCACTATAGGTAGTTTCATAAAACATTACTGGTGGTGACTCTAGTAATACAGATGATCCGAATGTGGGTGCACATTCACACAGAGACATATCAGAACATTGTAAGTTTCAGCTCTGACTGACCTTCAGGTTGATATTGTGCTATAATCGTCACTGTCTGTCCAGCCCCCTTTAGTGCAGCAGCTGCCTGTTCATGGGATGCACCACGGAGGTCAATGCCATTCACCTGAAAGAGAGGAAGCCGGGGAATTTTGGTATTTCATAAGACATGTTATTCTGATAGGAGAAAAGAGTTTCCCAAAACGGAGAGGCTATCTAACATTATGTCACATGTCTCAAAACCTTTCATATCCTACTCAGGTTTTTGTGAACTTAGCAAATTTCCTAGTCTTGATCATTTTTAACTAGGAGAGACATGAAATTTCATCTTGTGGTATCTGATCAGGCTGAAGACATTTTTGTACATCCATGTTTTAGTGTGTGCATTTAGTATGCCCCTGTGAGCTTCCTAGATTTCTGGGTTAAATATGGACTCCCAAAATGAGAAGGAAGACAAGATGATAAAGAGAGACACATGTAATGTACATAGACAAGTATATGCTGACAGATTAAAATATATAGATGAGGTTCTGGGAAGATGATATAAAATGGAGCTGGCTGCCTGACAAATCTCTCCTTTTGGTCAATTGCCTAGTCCTGTCATCCTGAACCTGGTTAGACAGCCCCGAGCCTTGTTCCAAAATAAATGTGACTGCCCCATTTCTCATGCACAATTCCAGAATGAATTCTGACAAAGTGAAATAAAGTGTACTTGGAGTTTATTGCTAACTCCCATTTTGGGTACCATGCTGAAAGAGAAACAGAACATCTAAAAACAATCTCCGAATTGTCAGGGTAAAAATAATTCTTAAGTTAAATTTAATGAGAAATAAACATTGAAATCTTCCTCAAATCAGTTCAGACTGAGTCAACACAATGTAATTACAAAGTGCTCTCCAATGACAAGACCCTGTGTTTGCATCAGAAAAGGGACAAGGAGTAGGGAACAAAGGTGAACAAGATAAGCCCCTAAGAAGATTTTCTTGGAGCACACAGTAAATATCGTTTACTTGCTTTATATATATATATATATATATATATATATATATTTTTTTTTTTTTTTTTAAGATGTGGGGTATAATTCAGGATTACGTATTAAAGTGGGCATTATACAGGTAAAGTTTGGGCCTCCCTTTGGTCCCCACTTTGCCTGGTTTGAGTAAATAAGGTTTTCTAACCAACAAAGAGCTAGGTTTTTGCAGGTGACACCAGAATTCTGGTTCCTTTCATTTATGGAGCAGGTTGCCATGGCCTATGAAAGAAAAATAAAAGAACTAGCCAGTTTATCTACATATAAAATATAGAGCCTTTTTTTGACTCTCATTGGTTCTCTTTGACAATGATTTTGAGAGGTAGATGAAGAATTATCACCTTAATTATTTCCCCCTCAGACCTGGAACATATGTACTCTTCAGTTCCATATCCTGGTCCTCTCCTCATAACTTTGTTAGAGTCTCCTTATCTGCTTTTATGATTTTCCTTGCCTCTTATCTGGCTTTCTTTCTTTTTTTTTATTTTAATCAATTTTTTAAAATGATATTGTGGGGTACAATGAAGGGTTAGGTATACAAATATGCTCCGTTCAGGCACGCTTGTTGATAAGAGGTGTCTCCCCGTCCCCAGACAGATATTTACTACCGTTAATCCCATCTCCCTTCCCCTCCCACCCCCATAGTTTCCCACCACTGTCA